TCGCGCCGTACTACTTGATTTACGTGCGGTGGACGGCCTAGTTGATACAGCTCTGGGTGCAGGTGAGAGGCTGGATTCAGGTGAAGGCCGAAGTTCGCCTTGGGGTTGATATTTTGAGGCAGGTTCAGTCTGTAGTTTAGGCCTTGGATATATTGTCACCGTAAAATTGTGAATTCCGTCAGATTATAATCTGACGTAGTTAAATTACAATCTAACCTAACCTAACCCACTGTTAGTTTACAATCTACCGCGTTATATTATAAACTGACAGAATTCACAATTTCACGCTGACAGATAGTTCAACAGCGTGGAGTGAACGAAAGGCTATGCGAATTACAAGTGCAGATGTTTAAGGATCTGGGGCTGGTTGTCTAGTCTTATGACTAGGATTTTCAGAAATGTAAAGCAATGTAGTTAGAAAGGGAGAGTGGAAGGAAAGATGTAGAAGCTGGGGGTAAGGACTGAATCCTCATGACTGGTCTCCAGTTAACCGGATTTATAGATTTATGTGTAGCGTTAGTTGTATGTAAAGACGACATCAGACGAATTTAAAAGCTTTAATCATACTTTGACCCCCCAATCGTTCGTTCATTTGTTTCAGCCAAATAACGTCCACCCCTGGACGAAGGAAAAAAGAAAGGTCTTCGCCAAGGATTTCCACAACGACCAAGATATATCTGGACTTTATTTTATTGAAGCTGCAATCAAATGCAAACTTTTTGCACGCATAACTAACAAGCAAACGGGTTGATAAACGTACGATTTGCATACTAACTACTCTTCAAACAATTCTCATTAAATTTTGCATCCAATGCATTGTAATTATTGTAGAAATTGTGTCGTCTCACCCCCGGGACCCAAAAATATATTATCCCGCCTTCGAGCCGGCAGCGATGTAAACATTGCTCATCTACATATTTTAGCCGCGGAGCTGGGACGCGTTTTTGCTAAATGCAGTTTGTACAGACCGGCATCTTGGTTAGAACATTGGATCTAAAACCTAAGAAACAATTTTAGTTGTTAAGCCACTATGTATAAAAAGTTTAGCTTACCAATTCGGAACAATATTAATAATGAGAAGAAGTGACGTATAAAACTTATTCCGATTCAACTACTAAAACTAATAGGCTTCTTGAAAGGTTTCCTATGTGCTTAATTTTCTCTAATTACTCCTGAAATCGTCACACAGCATAAGGTTTACTTACTTACTTTTTGATCACCTGGATTTGACCACTGCACTCGCGTTTTCATAGTGACTGTAAGTTTGAGTTACTGTGTTAACATTTAAGGATTAATTTTAGTGTTATTATAAAGATTAAGTGTCAACACTATCATGTTTTGCTCTCGCGCAACTGAAGCGCCGGCTAATTGTCTCTGATTGTTATAACTACCGATTTGGATGCTGTTAGGCGCCATGCATACAGAGCGCCGCCGATGGGCTTGATGGCGGGGAATCTAAATTAGGGGCTGTCAAATTGACATTGTCGATGGTAGGTTTTTGTTTTGACAAAAATATGGGCACTTTAGGTCGAACTTTAATCAAAAATCAAAATCAAAATCAAAAATATTTATTCAGTTTAGACCACAAGTGGCACTTATGAACGTCAATAGAAAATAATAAAAAAAGAAAAAGGTAGCCCTTATGGGGCACTTTACATGTCTCCTTATCTTTTGGGCCCTACCAGCGCTTCGAGACAAACATATGGCAAGTGCTGAGAAGAAACGCCGGAACAAACTCAGTCACCACTTATTGCCAGGAATTATCTAACGGTAAGAATAGTCAAATTTAAGTACATCAAATATGTGCAGACTGAACTGACCACGCATCCTTGTCATCAATATACTTTAAGATCCTACATGATGTAGCTAGCCTGTAAATTAAGCTTGGTTGTAGTCCTTCTTATTTATTTTTAAACGCCTATGAGTTCGATGACTACAGGGAAATCTAAATTAGTGTTAGTGGTAGTTTTTTGTTTGGACAAAAATATGGGCATTTTAGAACTTTTAAATCCCAGATGTTCTGGCTTCAGCTTGTTGAATTTTATGATATTTTTTTGCCTATTTTTATTTTTTTTGGCGGATTTTGGTAATAAATTCTACAGTAGGTATGTAAAACACACTTCTCTATACCTAATACCAATCTTATTTCAAAATTTTGATACAAAATTTTCTTTTGGATGAAAATTGATATTTTTTTATTAGCCTTTCTTTTTATTCTACTAGCTAAATAAATAATCGTACGTAAAGTATCAGAGATGTACGCAATTTAGACATACGAGTAGATTTGAAATGTTCCTAGAAAAGTGTACCTAAATATTACTCTTGAAACTTATTGATCTAATACATGATGTTCAGTACAAAAAGCTGTACGGATTTTCAACATATTCCCGATCTGACAAGTGAGGGAACTTTCAACGGGCCCTTTTATCCGACGTGACGTCCTGCGGGACTCAATTAGCTGGCTTCGGACAACGCCGGACCGGACGCCGGACAGGGCTTAGCCATAGTACAGGCGTCCTCAGTACCTTTAGTAGAAGAGGCCTGGTCTCTTGAAGTACCGATTATAAAAAGTATAAGACTTACGTCGTCTTCTTAACTTAGAAAGCTCTCCAAAATTTGACTTTATGAAAAAGCAAATACTTGCTTAGCAAAGACTTTAGCTTGTTGAAGTATTCTTTGTAGTAGTGTAGTTTTAGTTTGGGCGTGAAAATGTAATAAACAGATAATTACTTTTGTAATATTGTCTTATTTTGTAGGTATGTAGAAAAACGAGAGGTTTTTTCTAGTTTGGTTATAAATACTATATTTTATGAGAGATACTCCCCATCGTTTGTTCGTTCGTTTCAGCCAAATGACGTCCACTGCTGGACAAAGGCCTCCCCCAAGGGTTTCCACAATGCACGGTCCTGCGCTGCTAGTAGGAGGCCTGCCCACGCTACGTCTTCCAGCCCGTGATCGAACTTTTCTCCCCATAAAATAATTTCATTCTTAGACATACTTAAATATTGACGTATTATACTGATAGTATCGAGGACTACTGTTTAACTGTACTGTGACTTAAAGGATAGGTTTTGTGCCACTTTGTCTTGCTTTTAAATCAATTATGTTTGAAGGCCGGCCACTTTGTACTGCTGACGTGGCCGGCTACGTCACGGCTGCCAGTTTCGAGGTTCAAACTCCAAGTCTTAGGAGAAGGAACAGCAATGTCCTTACTACAGCACATCAAAATACATTTTGTTGAAAAATAGATAGTTACGACTACATAAGATGCTATAATGTTTAGCTTGGTGTTCTATCTTCTGTACTTTAGATTCTTGATTGGTAGATTTTAGAGAAATAAAGCAGTTCAATGTTTGAGTGAAAGAATAACCTTTTTCACATGAAGAAAGTCTCTGATTAAAGTCAAATCCATCAGTGGTTTTGTTGCCGTGCTTCTTCTAAGAACTGGCACAGATATTTTTCTTAGAGCTTTGGTAAGCCATGTTGTTACCTAGTTTTATCATAAAAAGGTTGTCTGTAAAATTCTGATCCGATTCCGAAGTCTTTGGTTCCAGGAACACAGAATTCCAATTTCTATAATGTTTTGTGAACTTAGTCACGATATTTCTTTAACATGAATAGGAAGTTACTTTCATTATTTCATTATGTACAAAAACATTTTAATAAAACCAAAATAATAGTAGCAATATACTAATTAATTTAATATTATATTAACGGTCGACAACGTTCATTGAAGCTCTATTATTTACTAAGCTCTGAGGAAGTGCTTTCAAATATTAGCTACTAGCTTTCCGCCCGCGGCTTCGCCCGCGTGGAAATTTGTCTGTCACAGAAAAACTTTATCGCGCGCGTCCCTATTTCAAAAACCGGGATAAAAACTATCCTATGTCCTTTCCCGGGACTCAAACTATCTCTATGCCAAATTTCATCAAAATCGGTTTAGTGGTTTAGGCGTGGAAGCAAGACAGACAGACAGACAGGTTACTCTCGCATTTATAATATTAGTATGGATAGTATAGATATTAGTATAGATAAGCTATTTGTTAATGAATAATTTGTATGAAGATGTATGATTTCCAAAGACAAAAACATCTTAGGTCTGAATTTAAATCTAGTGCATTAAAATACGGCTACTGGAACGTTAGCTTTACTGTTATATCTATTCAAACAAAAATATTTTTAACTCTTTTTTTGTATGTACGTTTCCGAACGCTAATTTAGAATGTACCCTTCTAAAGCCAATCACACACCGACTGCTCACCAATGAACAGTCAAATTGTCATAATTCCCTGCAATTTGAAAGGCTTATTGTGCCCTTTTGTCACTTGACCGCCCGCCCTACGCGTGCGCGCCGCGTGCCGTGACAATCGACCTTTACTCGCATTTAGTTTTTAATTGCCATTTAGTCTTGTAATAAAAATAAAAAAGCGTTGTTTGAGTAACTGTCATTGTTAGTTAAGTGATGGATGGAGAACTGTTACGAGGAAGCGAAAGTTCGTAATTAATGAAACTTGACTAAAATTATCTAATGAAGTTTGACCTTTTTGATTGTTTGCTGTTGCGACGTTTTAGTTTACGTAAATCTAGAATTTATGAGAAATGTGCCTAAATATGTACCAACTAAATATGTAAGTAGTTAGTATATTTTTACTAACTACATAAAGTTAGCAAGACTCTTAGGCTGGGTTGCACCATCTTACTTTAACTTTGACAAACGTCAAAAATCTGTCAAACTCCATACAAACACACCGGTTATCGTCATAGTTACGGTCAAAGTTAGGTGGTGCAACTCAGCCTTATAGTTGCTTCTTATCTCTATCATCGTTGTAGGGACTTAAAACTAGGCAGTTAGGACCAAAACACATGACAACTAGTAATTATTACATAAAAAGGCTGAAAAAATATTATAATTGGCATATTATTTAAGTGGCATTTATGTCATGGGAACTTAATTAAACTACCATCAACTAAACAGCATCAGATGATTATTAAACAGGCAGTTACTCTTCTTCCTCTGGGCCGTAAAAAGCGCCAGTCAGCAAATGGTGGGGCTCTCCCTTGCCCGCCAACTGTACCACGAACAGAAAGGGGTGGTCAAACACCACCTGTTCAAGGTTGTCTCCGAACTCGGCGAACTCGCGAGCGGCCCGTTCTTTGTCTGTGAAAAAAAGTTCAATTTATCATTATCATCATCGTCGATCAATTCGAGTCTTATCGTCTGAAATGGCTCAAGATCTACTTTTGGTGATTTACCACTATTGGTATTGTTTTTTTTTGTTAAAGGCAACACTTCTGAGTTGCGTATGTTAATGGATTAATTATGACGTGATTAACATCAAGGGTTTTATTTTAAAAATTATAACGAAGAATTTGATAAAATGAAAATCATTCATAATTAAAATTCAGTTGATTTTCGGAAAAAAAACATTGACGTCACTTAGCCTAGGCGCAGACCATCGATTTTTCGTCGTGCGATAGTTTAGTCGGGCAGTTGATCACTATGGGCATGTATGGAAGTGCGCACATTACACCGATTTGATTTGGCCGATTCTTCATACAAATTAAGATCGGGCCCAACTATCGGCCAACTAAAAATCGGTGGTCTGCGCGTAGTCTTAAACTAAATGTGCACTAGTTCTATATCCATGCATGTACGAGTAGGTACTATAGATAATAATGGAGGTCAAGCGTTCACTAGTTCTTAGTCTATAATATAATTTTTAGACCGTAAAAATGACGTGAATAGATTATTTAAATTTTGAAGGTTATTTAAACCGACCTGTATTAACTGGGTTCTGAAACCACGTCATCCCCGTCTCGTCCATTTCCAGGAAGACCTTTTGCTTCGCCTTACTCAGGTACACTTTGCCCTTCGAGTCCTTTTCCAGCATCCCTTCTAAACCAGAGTCGTTTACAGAGAAAATGTCATTAACGCCTATCTGGAAAAGGCAATAATACGATTTTAAATATAAAAGCTACTTACAGGTTCCTGAAAATGGTGAATTGTAAATAAAACCGGACAAGCGTGTGTCTTACATAAGTTCTATTAAATTTTGAGACATGAATATTATAAAGAAAATAAATAAGTAAACCATGAAAAAATAAACTTAGCGATTGGAATACACGCTACCCAAACTCTTAAGTTGCTTTTTCCTTTGATGCGGATTTCGACACGCGTGCGGATCTCGACTGTATGCGGGCGGCCTGCATTTCATTATTTCATACAAGTTTTTCATTCAATTCCGCGTGCGTGTAGACTGCGATTGCGGATTCGCTGCGGGTACATAATACGAAATGTTTGTCCTTGCTGCAACCAGCAACGTAATTTAACACGCACGCGTGCCGAAATCTGCATCACAGGAAAGAGGCACTAAATTGGTACAATTTCATACCAGTACCATACCAGTCTTATAAAACCAGTCCAGTCGACGTACGTCTTGATCTTCATCCTAGGGAGATACAACCTCATAGGCATCGTTTTTATTCGCAACTCGCTCATCATCTTCTTCAACAGATAAGGGTTATTGGAGAACTTGTTGATGAGGTCTGGTAAGCCTGCCCTGTTCTCTGGGAGGAAAAATGTTATGGTTGCTCCTGGAGCCATTAGGTTTAGGTTTACAATCTGAAAGAGAAGATAATAACTTTTTAAAATGAGGTTGGATTTTGGGTTGTTTAAAATAAGCCAAAGCGTTTTTTGTTTCAGGGTATGCCATCCTAAAGAGGGTCTCTCCTCAAAATGACTCGACTGGAGCAGGCATCGGCCCTAGCAGGTTAGTACTTCGTATCGTATAGTCAAGTAGATAACTTTTTTAACTAAGTTTCGATATAAAAACTTTATGAGCCACCTACAAAGATGTATATAAGATCGCTAAATTGGACCTATTGGTGTCCAACCGAAGTGATTGATCAATTTTTAAGTGTATCGAACTCGTGATTTTCAAACAAAGATATTTTTACTCTTTACCTTCACATGATTGTTGACATCGTCTAAAAACTTTAAACTGTCAATTATGCTAAACATTGGGATCATCCAAATTTTGTTGCTCAAGTCATAAAATTTTTGGGGCCTTGTAAACTGACCGTCAAAAGGTTGGTCCCATGCGACCTGGAATAAAGTAAAGGTTTTTAAAGAGATGCAAATAAAAATTACTAATTTTAAAGAATTATAAATAAATAAATAAATAAAATAAATAAAAAAATAAAAAGTATTTATTTCAGATAACAGGGATCCATAATGTTAGTAAAAACTTAGGCTATGTTAGTATCTTATTTCTAAAACAGACTTCGTCCTGCTGAGCATGTGACCGATCAGTGGACAATCCCCACTATCAGTTTTACTATTATGCTGACTAAAATCTACGCCAAGAGTTTGATAAGTTTGTTGCTACGATTGTCTAAAGTGAGCCCAAAATACTTATAAATGTTATACGAAATTAAACTTACTTTAAAATATATGCCGTTTAGTATAACCATGGACGTTGTATTGTCGATGTCTTCTTCATCAATCAAAGTGGCGACACGGTAGAGTGTTTCTTGTGCGAACTGAAAATTATTTTATAACGTGACTAGCTGACCCGGCGAACTTCGTACCGCCTTAGCGTAGAGATTTTCTTAATATTTTTTTCCGTAAGAACCATCCTTGGACTTCCACAAACATTTAAAAAAAAGAATTATCGAAATCGGTTCAGCCGTTCACACGTGATGCCGTGACAACGCGAAACGGGTTTCATTTTTATATATATAGATTACATAAATTATTTATTTGAATTTACGCTTTAGAAGACCATTTTACTACACACGAGTTTTCTTAATGTTTTTATAAGAACAGTCAGTTGTTTCTTGCTTAAATTGAAGCAGTATATCCTAATGCTTTTTACTGTAGTGACTACGAGTATTTGTAACTTACCCAATGGTTCATAAACTTGGCTGCTGCTTTCGGATACCGAAACCCGACTTTGTCTATACGGACCCCGTAATAACTCGACGCATTCATTACGGCCCGGTCCACCTCCAGGCTATCGTTCAGGTATATCATGTTCTTCAGCATGAGGGTAGAGCTCAAAAACACTAACAGTTCTCTGTAGACATTGATGTAGTAGTTTTTAATCTGAAAATAATGTTAGGCCAATAGTTAATTTTATACTAAAGTCACGAATACTTTATTTTGCTTGCTAACCATCCAACGCATTGAGGATTTTTTGAATTAAAAAAAAAATGTCAACAAAAAGGCAAGTACTAATAAGTATTTACCTACTAGCGATTGGTTTGTTACTGAAAATGATGTTAATTTAAAGTGCGCAATAAGAAAAAAAGAAAGATACATTTATTACAATGGACATCGCACAAATACAGGCAATTCATAATAATGGAAGAAGAGAAAAATAAAAACAAGAGTAAACTTAGCAGTGCCACCCATTCACCAACAAGATGCCCACTGCAACGGGACCTCACTCAGTATATGCCGTGGCCCACGGTGACGAAGGCCACGGATAAATATAATAAATAAGATTTAACGCTGTTCTAATTCTATCGTGCCAACCAAATGACGTCTACTGGACAAAGATATCTCCAAGTATTTCCACAACGAACGGTCCTGCGCTTCCACCAGAGGACTTAATAAGTCGATAATATTTATAGTTTACTAGCTGACCCGGCGAACTTCGTACCGCCTTAGCGTAGAGATTTTCTTAATATTTTTTTCCATAAGAACCATCCTTGGACTTCCACAAACATTAAAAAAAAAGAATTATCGAAATCGGTTCAGCCGTTCACACGTGATGCCGTGACAACGCGAAACGGGTTTCATTTTTATATATATAGATAGATTAGCTACTCCACACTCACCTCACTTTCTCTCGGTATCCCGAGGGCAGACATAAGTTCCTCCTTGGCATGTCCTTTCGCCACCGAAGCCAGCTGGCACAGAGGCAGGCTCAACGCGAACGGCGACACCACAGTGCTGACTGGACTCACTTTCAGCACTTCCTGGTGAGCAACGAATGGTAATTTAATTACAGTCATTTATTTTCATCATCAAGTCTAAATAGTCTAGACTAAGCCTAGGCGCAGACCATCGATTTTTCGTCGGCCGATAGTTTAGTCGGGCAGTTGATCAGTATGGGCATGTATGGAAGTGCGCACATTACACCGATTTGATTTGGCCGATTCTTCATACAAATTAAAATCAGGCCCAACTATCGGCCAAATAAAAATCGGTGGTCTGCGCCTAGTCTAATAGTCTTATTTTCAAGTGTTCTTTTATTTAATTTTGATCTATTCTTATTATTTACTTTAGGTGGTTTGGTTACTTAGTTTTTAAACGATTTAGGTATTTACATTAATTTGCTAATTTAATAAACTTTTCATGAAAAAAATATACAGTCAGACTACCTAGTCCAATTAAGAACATCCATCCATCCTTTTTTAAGTCGGTTTAAAGTACTATCAATATCGTGATTAATTCAATTTCGCAAAACTAATTACTCAAATATGAAACGTCAGAAACCCACCAATGCGATCTTTTTCCGCAAACTGTCCGTATTGAGAATACTTTTTTCGCATAAAACCGGGAGCACCACAATCGCGAATTCCACTGAAAATAGCTGGCATTATTATTTATTATTATTGGATATAAAAACGAAAATAAAAAGCCTTACCTAATATTTTGTGGGTATTCATATCGACAATGCCGTTTTTGCAGTAGCGTAACAGTGAAATACGGTTGTAAAACATTTTATTTGCAATACAGAAATGTTACATCGATAAGCTATAAGGATCTCGTCGTAAAACTGTCGTGACTTTGTATGAAATATTTCCTGAGAAAGTGCCTCGAAGATTCTTGCTACCTATCTTGTGGTCGAAAATCGGGTAGAATTTCAATTTATGCCTCCAGCCATGTGCTGGATCTATTGGCAAGTGAATTGTGGGTGATTTATGTTAGTGGTTACTGAACATCTTTACAATGTAGTAAGAAAGAGTGTTCAAGAGGAATGAAACGAGCCTGTAATTTATATGAAAATAATTTGTTCAGCAATATTAGGTCCTATGTAAAAGATTTATCCCTTTCCAAAAAATAATGGTTTAGATTGATTAAATAGTTTAGGACATTCTATTACAAATCGGAAGATTTTTGAAAAATAATTATTTATTGGTGCTCAATCAAAACATCATAATAAAACGTCTATTAGGCATTCGCAAACCAGAAGTAGAATGACCGATGTACCTGTAAACCTGATTTCTTTTTCCTCTTTTCACACAAAGTTAATTCGGAAAATTCGCACAACCTATTTCTTTCAGCGTTCAAAACAATACGAGAAAGATTCCAAATTGTTCAGGATCACAACCCGTTCCCATTATGCCTGGGAGAGCTGGAGATGGCTTCAAAGACGAGATAAGGCCGCCGGTAATGTAGCCAGAGTGTTCGCCCGCTTTGACGGCCGAATCAAATAAGTCGGGAATAGTAATAAAATTGAACAGAGCGCCGGCCCAGATGTAGCGACGATTTATCGCGAGCTAAGGATTTGGGGTACCGGGAGAAGATTTGAATCACTTCGAATATCTATTTTTTATACTTATTATTATAATAAAAGCTTTTCTTAGTTTGGGACTAGAAGCGTAGTGTAAAATGTCCAAGAATATTTATTTACTTAGACATTCTCATTCTCAAAATTCGCATACTTTTATAATTGTTATTTTCTCAAATGTTATTATAATCTATTTATTTATAATATAGACCATTGTATGGGGTGGAGGGTTGGTAACCTGAGACACAGGAATCTTCCTAGTTCAGGTATCAACCCACCAACATTCTTACTTTTTGTTTTTCCTGATTGTTTGTTATCATAATATTATCTGTTATGTTGGTGAGAAATAAACATTAATTTACTTTACAGCAGACATCTACTGCTATTTTCGCATCCTCCAAGGATACAAACTACGCTATCTTAACATTTCGATCTCTTTTCTTCTTTTCAGTAGAAAGACATCACTGCCAGAAAAATTATATGAATTTCAGTCCACTGCTGGATGCAATAAGCATGCCAAGGAGCGCCAAAAAGCATGATTTTTTTTAATCTAGGGGCTAGATTTAGATCGAAAAGCCTAATTTTAGATCGATCGACGATCATCATCAACCATAATCATCATTTCAGCCGTAGGTCTGTTAAATACATATCTATTAAATTGTATATTGGTTACTAATTATAATCGACTACCAGTAATAGAATCAGAGAGTCGATCAAAATGATGCACTTATTCTTAATTCATTTCGGCAGTATTTTGCGTTTTCCTAAAACTAAATCCTTTCCAAATCCTCCTCCAAGTGCGCCACCGGCCCTCGGCAGTCGCTCGCTTACACATTCGTCGAGCTGCATCCAATATGTTTCCGAGCGTATTGTCTTTAACAGGTCCATTATGCCGATAGATTGCGAGCCGCCGCCCCGAAGAAATCTTCATCTCAGTATGAATATTTTGTTTACCACGGTATTGCGGCAAGGAAAACATTCGTATATTAATATCCGGGATTGCTGGGCTGGGCTCTGTTAGTTTGGGTGCACTGTTTTTTCATATTTCGCTGTTGGTTTGGGAAGTTTGTTTGTTGTTGGCAAAAATGAACGGTTTAATAACTGATGAAGGGTTATTTTTGTAGTGGCTTGTAATAACATGTAATAACCGCGGTTGAAAATACATATATTATTCCAGCTTATCTGCAGATTATGTATTAGGTTCTTCTGTACCTAATTCACACAGTCAACAAAGACATTATTTTTAGACTTCACTCCTTGGCATCAAGCGGCGGTCATAGTTTTTTTTATTTTGAGGGCGACTTTCTTGGAAATGCCTGTCAACTGGTCTTTTAATCAATATTATTTGCCTCTGTTATCCAAATTCTTAGAAAATTGCTGAAAATACAATATCCTATTTTATGTTGGTAACTTGATTTGAATGATCTATCTTTATTTTACATTCATATCGTTACTAAGAGAAATATTTTGACAGCTCTCAGTGGCCATTTTAAGAAGTTCTGGACACATATTGCGAATAATCCCACTGGGAATGAGGTGCATAATCAGGAAAATACTTTTCCACAAGTTTTTGCTTTTTCGCTCCAAAATCCGGATTTACCGCTAAACCAAAACGAAAGCGACCCTCAAAATAAACCAACAGGAGTCCCTCACAAAACCTCGCTAACATGTAATTGAATGAATATTCAAGTTCCTTAATCAATAGAGGCATTACTAGAGGTCCTGTGGAGGCATCCAGCCGCCTGTGAAATTGGACTAGAACAGAGAGAGATGGAAGCGGGATTGGGAACGGGTGGGAGGGAGACGGATGGGGTGCGCGCTTTTATAAATCATTTTTCCTGGCACGGCGGTGTTTTAGGAAAGGCGCACGCGAGATACAAACAAGTTTTTGTGCAATCTGAGAGATCATTCGTGAGTTTTTCCTGATTATTTTGGAAAAAATCTGTATTAAATGAAAAATGTTTGATGTCTTTGTATTGTCTCCGGTGGAAATATTCGCAATGATATTAACTTGGACCCGTGACCAGCGTCTTTACAAAATTAAACCATCTTAAAGTTTAATTTTGAGAAAACAGTGTTACTATTTCTAGATAAATTGCCATTGGATCATTTTGTACCTGCTTTATTATTTTCAAAATCTTTCTGCGACTTTTGTGTACAAGTCGTCCAAAATCGCACGTCCGCGCCCGCCTTTAGTTGGTAAAGCGCTGAATCGCGATTATTTCTCTTTGCGTTTAGTTAATCAATTATTGTAATGCCGCGCGACGTGTGCGCCGCGCCGGGTTTTGGTAACACACGCGCTTTTTAATGCACCCGACTTTGTCCGTAAAAATATTTTTGCATACATTTCTGACGTATTTCTTGAAGTTTTAAAATACAGTGCGGCCCTGCCTAAAGTGCAACCCCGGAAAGGGATGAAACTGCATCATAAATTATAGACAAAAACACATATTTTATTACACTTTTTGTAAAAAAAAAAATACTGATTTTTCTTATATTCTGCGGGCTACAGCTTTGCAGTTTCAGGCTTCATGAACTAATAGGTGTTGTCGGTCATTGCTCTGTCCAATAAATCAAGAAAAGTAATTTCTCGGAAAATTTTTCTGTCAGACAGTCTTCTTTCCAATAAAAATATTTGTGTTAAGTGTTAATATTTGATGTTTACGATGACATAAGTAACGTATATTATTTGTACATTCATCCAAACAGTTGATAATAAATCCAATTCGATCTTGAATCTAGCACAGGATCTTCATTTCCAATCAAAACTACTCGCACAGTCAGGCGAAAAATTCTTTCCCACGTATTTTTAGGATTGGCAAGGCTTGTGGGAACATTACTAAGTATTTTTAAATACCATCAAAATGTTTTTATTATCGAGAATTTCTTTTTTTCTCCTTTTTTTATCCACAACGAATAAAACCAGTGTTGCAAGGATCTCTCCTTACAACGTAGACTAAGCCAGGTCCAATTGCCTTCGGTGTACTTCATATAGTTGTAAGTCTAACTACTTGTTAGACTTACCTATGTCTAATGGTTTGAAGGCAATAATTTTTTTATGTTTAAAATATATTATTAATTTCAACAAGATATTTCGCTATCGGGCTTTTCTGGACCTCAGAAATGTTCCCTATCACTCTTTCTATCAATTCATTTGCGATTTCAAATAGTATTATTTACTCTTCACGTCTCTACAGTGACACTCAAAGTAGCCAAAAAGTTGACAGACAACACATCCTTATTCCAATAGGCTAGTTTCCTAAAAAAATTTTTTTAGTCCGTCATGTTTGATGTCAGAAAGTATTGGACACATGTGTTTTTATTTGTCAATCTAACAAATAATTACATAGTTATGGTGCGTTGAAGTTCCGCACGACGTCACAACGTGCGGAACTTTTATGCACGCATTGACGTCACGGGCCTCTTCTTATGAACTTTGGCGCGCTTTATCTCTTTAAATTTTCATTTGTTTGAAAAAGTGAAGAATACGTGTGGAGTATTTTTGGATAAGTTGACTGACGGACTAATTAAAACTCTTGCTTTTTGACCCAGGAAACATCCCTATTGTAACGAAGACGTGTTGCTAACTTTTTAGCTATTGGGTGTCACGAACTATTTGACGCTGACTGTACCATGCCATCGCATGCCGTCATCAGCCTCCAGAAATGAGTCACGGGGCCAGCAATCAATCGCGCGCCAATCGCTCTGCAAAAAGTAAAGGAGGACCGGCTAATAAGTTTGCTCGCTCTTGCGTGCCCGGACGCGGACCAATTCGCTTTTTAAACGGACCAATCGGAGTCGCGATGCTCTGTTTGGGAACCGTTTTAACGGCAGTTGGCGTTTTTAAATTTGGATGTGGGGTAATTAGTTGCGATGGGGTTTTAAATGTCCCAACTATTTCGGGGCTTGGTTCACTCTTAGGTTAGTTTTTATCATGCTACGTGTCTCCGGTTAAGTACATTCTAAAAAAACACTACCTGTCGATGTGCCCGTAGGATGAGTGAGATGATAGGGAGATAATTGGGTATAAAATATGAATGAGTAGTTGTTAATTTCGCGGGTGCGAGTGAGCTTTGCATGTGTGGTGGCTCGCTACTGTTCGTTCGTATTTCAAAAGTTTTTTGATAGACATTGCACTATAGTTTAAAGCATGTACACGTACACACACAGGTGGGGCTCGCTCGCCTTCGTGAGTTGCATAAGAACTAAGCTCAAGAACTGTATTGTTTGTTGTAGTGGTTGTAATTTTTTTTTTAAGTATTGCATGAGTAGATATAGTATAGTGTAGTAATTAGCAGGAAACACAATGAATGCTCGGGCTGGGTGGCGCCATCTTGCTGTAACTTTAATAATCTTTAAAAATCTATTAAATTCCATACAAAAAACACCCAGTTACTGCTATGGTAACGGTTGAAGTAGGCTGGTGCAACTGAGCCCGAAAAACTAAGGACGAGAACTATTGCCGACAAACTGTAATGCAGTTTGGCAAGTGTATCTTTATATTTGATGTGTATCCTTTTGTGAACAATTAATAAAAAAAAATAAAAAAAAAAGTCTGATTTAAAGTAGAGAAATTGCTAGTAAACTGTGATGGCAAACTACTATGTGCCAAAATAGTAGTCAAAATAAAATTAAATATTTTTATGAATATGACGCCAAAAGCTCATATTGACACACTAAACTACCCAATTTTCATCAAAAGCGTAATTCTGAATTTCTTAAGAAACAGTGCTTTTCAACACAAAATTGCATCCCTTACCTATTTGGCTGACTAAGTTTTTTTCAACACCCTTTTCCTGAAGGATTTTAATTTTTCTATTGACTTGTAGCCATCCATCCAATCCAAACCTGCAGTATGTTCATTTAGGATCTTTTCAATGTCCAATAAGTTTAAGTATTCAGTACAGCAAGACAGGTAAGCGGCTTATCTCAGTAATGCTCATTGATATACCGCGCGGCGCTATCGTCGTTCGGCCAGATTTGAATTTGAATGCGCAGGCGTCCGCAGTTTCGGACAGTTGATCTTGTGACGGATTTGCGTAATAATTTATAGTATTATATATGGGGGAGTAAGTGTCTGACTGTTAATTGCACTTTCACGCATAGCCAAATTAATGGTGATAGAGTTGCAAAATCTATAAGGTACCTACTGAAGGGGACTGAAGTAGTAAAAGAATCACAACATTTAAAATTATGACCCACGCTGCGGTGCAATCACCTATGTTTACGTTTTTTCTCTTTTTACGTATTTATACTAAACTGAAAGAAAATAGAGTCATAAGTATACATCGGAATATAATATGTAGGGAGGAGATGCAGTGTCTATAAGATTTAATTCCTTCCCTAAAACTTTACATGCTTGTGTTTACTTACCTCGTTGGCCGAGTTTGTTACCAATGAAGCCATAACGCTGGGGCAGGAAAGTTCTTGAGTGGCGACCATGAGCCGGAAGACGTAGCGTGGTCAGGCCTCCCACTAGGTGGACCTACGATCTGGTGAAGGTCGCGGGAGGTGCCTGGATGCGAGCGGCGCAGGATCGGTCTTCGTGGAAATCCTTGGGGGAGGCCTTTGTCCAGCAGTGGACGTCTTTCGGCTAAAACGATGAAGCCATAACAATCAAATTCCTCAACATCTTCCCTGCTCTCCGATCCGCCCTAATACCACCCTAAAACAGCCACTACAATTACTCCATAAAAACGTCGAATAAATAAACAAAATCGCAAAGGGTAGTCGCCATACATCCTCAATCGGGAATACAGTAAAAGATAAAGTCGCAACTCGAGCGAAAAGATACGGGAGGGGCATGCTCAAAGAGCTGGCCCGGCATCGCATAGGCAGAAAAGAACAGCCACCTAGAGTTATAAAGGATAGAGAAACTATTGTAAGTA